ATTTTGGATCAAACAATGTTTGTTTATATTTGTTTGCTATTCAGGGGCGGAAGTGGTGTAGTGACAAGTGGCACGCTTACCACGCGAGCGGTCCGGGGATCAAATCCTGGGTCGTGAGTCGCCCGGGCCAACCAAGCCTTCCATCCCTCCGGGGTCGGTTAATTGGTACCAGACTTGTCTGGGAGGAAAAAACACTGACTTGTACATCGGCTGGCCCCCGCAAGTCATTGTATAGGCCACATCGCATTCAAACGCCACTACGAATGTACAAATGGAAGTAGAATGCGTGCCGCATCCCAAAAAGGGATTGATCAACGGCAAATGCTTTATCCTTTTTTATCCTTTTGCATTTAAGTCTGTCAATCAAACAACTCAAACCCCTAAATGTGATTGGAACTGCATAAGTAAATATGATGTTTCGCACAGCGATATCACGTAAGTGACCAAACAAGGGCAGTAAGCCTTAAAGGCAGTGAGTACGACAAATTGGGCTCACATTAGTAAATGTATGCATTAGATGCGGTAGCCGAACAAGAAGGAAGAGAGATGTGGCGTTTTCGCGGCGGAAGGTGCGCTAGCTGCAGAATTCAAGTCAGAATTTCTGTTGAATTTTTATAGAGCATTTCGATTCTTCTAATAATTTTATACCAGCAACTCAAAAGAAAAAGTAGGCAGACTACCAAGAACCACCGCGACGCATTGGGCCACCGAAGGTATCCCACCGAGGTCGATTAGTTTACAACAAAACTGTCTGATGCGAACTAATCGACCTCGGTGGGAGTACCTAATTACCTAAAAAGGAAGGAAATGTAGTAAAAACAAGAGATAAGCTGTAACAAGAGCTAGCACTTCATTGTACAGGCCAAATACATGATAATGCTATTTCGATCCTAGGAGAATACGACTATGTGGCGCATTCAAAGCGGGGTCAATCGTCGCCAAATGCTTCTTAAACCTTCATTTTCTCATTCATTCACTACCTTCATTTTTCAAGGCGAGAGAAAAGATGTAAATTTGAGTGTCACCTGTTCAAAGTCGATTTTGCTGCCGACTACGACTTTTTGAAGAGCTAACTCTAGCGCTATGATGCTGCCCGTTCGACCAATTCCGGCCGAGCAGTGAACAACACATGGAGCATGTCGTACTCTGTAAAACCAGGACGCAGTGATTGTCACTGAAATGCCCAAAATAAAGCGGACGTACCTATCCAGAAGATGAAGGGGTATTCGACATGAATTGTGGTCAGGGACACCTCGATCTGGCCAACTGTAAAAAAAAAGTTCTGAGTTCCACCTTGATACTCATGGAGGGGCAGGCGAATGGTGTACTGTAGGAAGTCACTACGTGACATTGCAGTCACTTGCAGTTCAAATATGCATGCCGATTTTGAACGGACTGAATTGGGTGTTGTACGTAGCATGTGGCAACAAGAGAGAGATGAGGGGTTTACGTCACTTATGATAAGGTATGGTCTGGCACGCGGAGCCTTCTCGTATTTTGAAAGGGAGGGTAGGTAGAAATCGAATCTGCCTTTCAAACAAAATAAGGGCGACACGATGTCAAAGTATAACATCTGCCAGCTAATGCATAACTGCCATCCCAGCCTTCCAAATTCTGTCTTCGTTTTGCTGGTATCTCTCTCCATTTACTCATCACTTCAGTCCAGTAAGGCCCCTTCTGTACATATTATTTATGTCTAAAACTACAGTTCCGGTCAGTCCATCTATCCTCCCAAATGCGCGGTTGACCCTGCGCGAACATGGACTCATAAAACGGAACTTGGCAGAGTTAACGCTTCAGTGAAAAAACATTTTGCAAGCATAGGGGTCAAGAGAGGGTGCCATGCAGATTATCCTTTGTGATGGTTCTTTCGTTGAACTGCTCTATGTTGGTACGCGTTGCCAGCTCCCTCACCTCTCTCTAGTGCCGAACGGGAGTCGGAAGGGGAGTGGGAGAGTTTGGAGAGGTCAAGAGGAGTTGGAGAGTGGGAGAGGATGAATGTAGAGCTCTAAGACAGAAAAGTCGACGCATAACATTCCAGCACTTTTCTGTGAGATTGTGAAATTTCCCCCCTCCCCGTATTGAAAAAATTCCTTCACCATACAAGCACGGCCCTTGAAATCCACCTTACGATCCTCTTTTGTGACGAATCCGTCCAAAATCAAATCAACGTCAAATGTTGGGCATTTTTTGAAGAATGTTTTGGAATTGTTGCTGGTCTTTGCGTACGTCATTCACACGGGAATACTCCGTTGCAGCCAGTAAGGGGTGGGGCATGTGATGTGACAGTTCTTGTCGCGGCTACAGAAATTCCAATTTTTGCAAGGGGAGGGAATCCCCGGGGTGCGTGAAGCATTTCGCTTGAACTTTTACACCACCCCGAAGCTTCCCTCCCTGAAATGGACTACTCTCATGCATACTGCTTGACTCCCACTTACTAGGATGAGACGCCCTGTGCTCCTTATTCATTTTGGAAGACGACAAGAACGTCGAGTGCAGACACATTACAAGTTACGACGATCGAGAAAAAAGTGGCTTATTTCTTTGCCGTCGTCACTTGTGGTGTGTGGTGTGCACTCCATGCTCTCTCTCTCTCAACGAGGGTACCCTTGTGGTTTACGATTCGGAATACGGCGATGGATTGTGGATCAGGAACGAATGCATTGAAAGCCTTCGAAATCTCCAGTTGATGCACAATTTGAATGAGCATTAAAGTTAGGAAGTTGGAAAGGGGGTTATTAGAAACATTATGAATCTTCAACTTCCTGAATCCCTAATCGCTGAAATCCTCAGCAAAGCCTCCTTTCCAAGGTTAACGATGACACTTGCTCATTTGCTACCTTGAACATGAAGATGTTCAAATAACAGGAAGCATCACAGAAATTCTGGGAAATCAGTTGTAGTGGGAAGTGGTGCGCTTACCACGCGTGCGGTCCGGAGATCGAAATCCGAGATCGTGCTTCGTCTGGGCCGACGCAGGTCTTCTATTGAGCTGGGTCGATTATATACGCAGTTGTCTGCGAGGATAAAACACTGAATTGTATATCAGATGGCACCAAGCAAGTCATTGCATAGGCCAAATCGCATTCAAACGCCACTACGAATATACAAATAGAAGTAGAATGCGTGTCGCATCCCAAGGGATTGATCAACGGTTTGAACAAGCATCCATCGACGCGAAGGGAACATGAGGTTATCGATGATTCGAAAGATCTGGTCACGGAAGAGAGGAACAGTTTCCAGTCCTATTCGCTATTCCATTTTATAAGGAGTGCTCAGGATATTGTGTAGTCAAATCAGAGATCTGCTCGCGGCGTCAAGTTTTGCAACACCCAGTAAAGTGCAAAACTGTGCAAAGCACTGTAGCCAGCGAAAGAATGTGTTATTCATGAACAACATCTTCAGATATGATTGTCCCCTTGCTGACTCCCAGCAATCATCAAAGCGCGTAAACATTAAAACTAGACAGAAGTGGTAGCTATCACGACGAACGGGGGCTAGTAGATTAGGCGGAAGGTTAAAGGAATCTTCCACGGACCATGGACCAGTGGGCGGGACCGGAAGTGGTTTTGCGACGAAATGCATGGTAGGTACGGATCCACGTTCATGGGAAGGTTTGAAGTGAATCCTGTTCACGTTCGTGCGTTCGACACGTGGATCCGTACCTACCATGCATTTCGTCACAAAAACTTCCGGTCCCGCCCACTGGTCCATGGTCCGTGGAAGATTCCTTTAAGTGCGCAACTTTTTGCTCGAAAGCTCGAAAGTGCGCGACCAAGGCAGGAGCTCGTCCTACCGCAACTCACACCTTCGTCCGCAACGCTTTTCCACACCTATTTTATCTCGAATCTTGTCTTTAAGCCACGCGCGCAGTTTAAAAGTGTTGCAAAGAAAGCAACTGCTTCAAAAATAGGAATTAAGATGTTAAGGTATGTAAGTGGGTGTGGTCCCATGTCGTTATTAGGCCCTCCTCTATTGCAAATATAAGACCAATTGTACGAAGTTATACGAAGGAAGCTTTTGAATAGAAGAGAGAGCAGGCGGAAGTAGCTAGTGGTAAACAAATGAAATCTCGGCTAACTACGTATGTAATGGCAAATTTCTTATCAAGAACATCAATTCTACGGAAAGAATGTGGCATTTACTGTCCAATTTGTATTCAATTCTTTATACAAAATACGGCCTGAGACCATGAAGCAAATAAGTTCTGAAGATATATCTTCCTATTTTCGCATTTTATCGTCGTACTCTCGCAGGAATCGCTGTCCAGTTGTTCTCGTCGATTCATTTAAATTAATATGTAGGAGGGCGTTCTCGATCATCACCCGATGAATGTAAAGGTATTGCACTTCCGTCTGTATACATTGAGCTCGAGCACTTTAACTCGCGAGCGATCTGAAACATTATTGCAATTGCATCACTACTAGTGAAATGTCGAGTTTTACCCTATGCGTGGCAAAAAGGCAGAGACGCAGAGGGTTCAGCAGACGAGTCGCAGCGCGTTTTCCAGTGATTACGCGTCAAATCAAATAGAATGTACCATTATAAGTACCACATCGTTCAGCACGCGCTGCCTCGAGCTGCGGTTCACCCTGGTGCCTATTGCAAGAACTAAACGGCCGGGTATCCAAGGCTCAGACAAAAATAAAACAGATCACGAATGCTGCCGGCATACAATTTTTTACTATAAAATTAAGGAGCCTGCCGGTTTTTTTGCATTCAAGTCTATCCATCGAAACAACTTTTCAACCACCTAATGTGATTAGAACTGCATAAGTAAATATGATGTTTCGCACAGCGATATCACGTAAGTGACCAAACAAGGGCAGTAAGCCTTAAAGGCAGTGAGTACGACAAATTGGGCTCACATTAGTAAATGTATGCATTAGATGCGGTAGCCGAACAAGAAGGAAGAGAGATGTGGCGTTTTCGCGGCGGAAGCTGCGCTAGCTGCAGAATTCAAGTCAGAATTTCAGTTGAATTTTCATAGAGCATTTCGATTCTTCTAATAATTTTATACCAGCAACTCAAATGGAGACAAAGTAGGCAGCACTACGCAAAATCACTGCGGAGCATGGCCAACCACCGAAGGTATCCCCCGAGGTCGGTTAGTTTACAACAAAACCGGGTGCTAACTTAGTTGGGGGGGGCCACGCGGCGGCGTGGCAGTCTGCTCGCCTGGCATGTTCGGAAATCCGTGGGCCAGGGGGGAGTTGTAGGATCAATAAGATAGGCAGCTACAAGTAACCACCGGACGCATTGGGCACGAAGTTATTACGAGTCGATTATTCACAACAAATGGGTGCTAACTTAGTTGGGGGGGGGCACGCGGCGGCGCGGCAGTCTGCTCGCCTGGCATGTTCGGAAATCCGTGGGCCAGGGGGAGTGTAGGCAGTCTAGGGGGGGGGGGGGTGGGGGCAGTCACTTGACATGCGTGAAAAGCTGGAATGTTCGAGTTTACACTGTCTCGCTCGAGAGAGCCCAGGTGAGCAGACTGCCGCGCCGCCGCGTGGCCCCCCCCCCAACTAAATTAGTTACACCTCAAACTGTATCCCGGC